GTAAGAAAGGCAGGAAGGAAACATTCTGGTGTTGTTTCCAGCCTCATCTTTATTGCCCTGTTTACAGAAACTGCCTCTCTTGTTGACCCTTATGACATTGTAACAGCTAAGGCAAAGAGCCCATCAACGTGAGTTGGCCACGCCCACCCAGTCACATGACCACTGAGGCACACCTACCTAGCTGGTCATTAGGGCAGAGAACTGGTTGTTAAATTATTTGAATCCCACCACTGATGTACTTTCTCCACAGATAGATGTTTTGTACCTTTCCCCTTAAAAAGTCTTGCTTTTCACACTCAAAAATGGGAGGCAGCCAACTGCTACTCCTAGGACGGGGGTGTCAAACTCAAGGCCCATGGGCTGGGTGCTTTGATATGACCTATAGGGCCATCCTGGAAACAGTGAAGGACCGTCTCAAAGTGTCTCTGGCAGTGAAAACGGAGCTTGGGAGGGCTGTCTGTGACCCTCCCGAGCTCTGTTTTTGCTGGCAGAGGGCTGCAGGAAGCCATCACAGCTGTAAACAGAGCTCAGGAGCCCACCTCCACTGGCAGAGAGCTTGGGCCAGCATAGATGCTCCCGACATGGGTAATGTCGAGTTGGTCATGCCCACCCTGGCCACTCCCACACCTGCGCCCAAGGTCAAACACAACTCTGGTGCGGGCCACAATGAAATTGAGTTTGACACCCCTATTAAAGATTGGATTTTCTAGTCGACTAGATATTACCAGCGACTTCCAGCAGTCTCATAATATACCGAGTGACATAGTAAGACTGCCAGGCTCTCCATGGATCATTGTTGGGCCTAAGAGGCAGCAAAGAGAGCGGAAGCAGAAGCAGGGATGCAGAGCTGGTTTGCTAATTCGGTTATGGAAGCAGCCTCAGAGACCAGCATTACCAAGCATTTTTTCTAACCAACTTTAGATCTTTTGTCCACAAAACTATGAACTAAAGCTATGGATGGCAGCGAATAAGCTCATTCATGACTGCTGTGTGATGATCATCACAGAGACCTGGCTTCATCCACTTGTACTGGATGCATCAGTGGAGCTAACTAACCACACCACACACCGCTTTGACAGAAACAGCAACTCTGCTAAAAGTAAAGGTGGAGGACTTTGTATTTACACACATAATAACTGGTGTATTAACAGTAGAGTTGCTTATACTGACTTTTCTGCAGATGTGGAATTCTTAACTCATTTGTCGGCCATTTTATTTACCTAGAGAGATTTCTGTTATAGTTATCACTGCTGTCTATATTCCACATGATGCAAATGTTAGCGCAGCGTTCTCTAAGTTACATGAAGCCATCGAGAGGCAGCAGCAAACTTACCCTGAGGGCGCTTTTATCGTGGCTGGGGATTTTATTCAAGCCAGTCTAAAGTCTGTTCTCCATAAATTTGTGCAGTATGTGCAGTATACCACCAGAGCAGGGGTGGGTTTCTCGCCCCGTTCCAACCGGTTCGGTTGGAACGGGGCG